ATCATCATAAGTTTCATCTTGTTTCGAAGATGTATCCTTATTTGACCTAGACCTGCTTGGCTTGGCTTGATAAGCTGGACTGGCTGGCTGATCTGACAATTGTTCTTGATCTGATTGAGCATTTTGAGTTTGAGGGTTATTTTCAGAAAACTCTCTCCATTTTGCAGCGACTAGCATCATAAGTTTAGACATGGGAACCTGTTGAAGTAATATTCAATTCATCAATCAATTTAAAAAAAAAGTTATTGACAAATTATGCAAATGTTATGCAACAAACTTTAAACAAGTTTGAATAGATAAATGAATGCAATTTAAATATGATCAAATTAATACATACATTAATATATTTAGAGTCAAGTAGAATGAATACAAAATGTTAGATTTTTTCATGATCTTTTATATCAAGTCTGATATATGGAAGATACATATTAATTTAAAGAATATTTGAATTATATTTATTGTAATTATGGACTGGCTCTGCCTCTTTAACTCATATTCATATACTTTATTTACAACCAATTTGAGAAACTTATTTACCTTTGGATTTTCTTTTGTAAGCATAGGCCTAAATGTTGTTGAAACAGCTTATAGTTGCTCAAATTTTGGTAATCTGCTTCTGAATATTCTACATTTACATCAGTCAATCCAAAAGTTGAACAAACTTCCTCTATAGTAGGCATGCCTGAAAATAGCAGTCACAGTGAAATTTTCATAAAACAGCATGTTTTTCATGGAATTGTAAGAATACACACCTGCATTATCTGATGTGGGTGTTGGAGTTGGGGTAGATTTCACACTACCTCGAGATTTCCTACTATTCTTTTTATTAGCATAATCTGAGTCACAACCTCCATTAGTGTCTTCTTCTCCAATGAAGTCACTTTCCTAAATAGATATTTAAGATATTGCATGAATTGTTTTGAATTTGATATTATAAATGATCAAGATTGATACACATGAGATACTTATATATACTTTCATATAGCGGCATTTATAAAATTGCAAAAATTTCTTTGAAGCCTTTTGCTATAGCAGACTTCATATTTCAAACATCACATGAGATCAAATTATCACCAAGCATGGGCTTATATATATTTATTATATACAAGATTCAGTTATTTCAAATCATGAAGTTCAAACATGATTCCAACTGATATGAATAGAAATTGATAGTAACATTGATTTTAATTAGATTAATCAGAATTTTGGTCAACAAAAGATTTCATTGCAATATATTAAAATCACAAAATATTGTATCACAGGTTCCATAATCTAGATTTAATGCATGCAAGTTTTAAAGGAATTTAAAGTATTAACTCTTATGAAGTATTTAAAAACCATATAAGATTCTTGTGTCGAATAATTTCTTAAAAAAAAAAAAAAACGAGCATTCAAGGGTAAAGAAATGGCATGATGTAACGACATTCATATAAGAAACTTACAGCTTCCTCACTATCAGCCTTTTTCTTTTTCTTTTCTTTTTCTTTCCTTTTTTCTCTTCACCTCGAGCTTTTCTTTTCTTACCCTTTTTCTTCTTGCGTCCATCTTCTGGCTCATAATCATCATCATCTTCCTAATATAAATTTTGTTAATTATATTAATATTTATATAAGGTTTCAGAATAATATGAAGCCAAGAACTTGTTATTAAAATATGAAACATTTGATATAAGAACTAAAGATACTTGAATTGCAAATCTGTTATTTTACACTAAAAAACAATTATGCCACTGATATTGGAATTATTATAAAAAAAACTTACTCCAACAACACCTTTCTGTTGACCATCATCAGAATCACCAGAATTTTCTAATACTTGTCCATCACCAGTTTCATCACATACATACATCATCTCCTAAATAATAAAACAATGTGATAAAAAATTTGGCTGTTTTATATTTTAATATTTATTATAAGCTATTTTTTTGTTTACAAATAAATATAATAAGATAAAAATGAATTACATGTGAAAGTAGATCAAGATATAAGTCAATCATAAAAAACTGACAAGAAAATCAAAGTTTAAAAATATTATAACCTTATATTTCAAAAATTGATTAGAATCAAATAAAAATTTTAATGAGGAGTTTTAGCGCATTCGTGCAAATTCTTTGACGACCTCCATTTTGTAAGGATAAGATGAGAATGCGCTGTCACAACAAAAATTATGAAAACCAATTCCCCCCTTCCATTATTTTAAATGTTTTTATTTATCACAAATTAAAAAAATCTCTCAATATACAACACAATCAACCGCAAATAACAAGATTTTCACAATTAGCATTTTGCAAAATGTTAAAAACTTTCATAAAAACATTTTTTTCCCCAAAAAAATGTATGCATCACTTGCAAGCGGTCGGCTTGCTCTTTATTTTACATGAACACAAACAAAAGTAAATTACCGGCAAATGGTTCATCTACTTACTCATCTTCTGAAGCCATATCGTCTTTTTAAGATTAAACTTGTGTTTATTAATCACTACACTATTTCCATAAATACATATAAATTAATTTTTATCACAAATCACAAAAATTAATGATAGATGATTCAGATCCTTTCACTTCCTTCTTCCAATTGTCTAGTTTGTACTCTAGCTAGCGGTTTTGGACCCCTCGCCCCTTCCCAAAGGCATCATACACACAAACGAACCGAAATAATGTTGCCATGTGCGATGTGTGCGTACACAACTGTATACAACAAAACACTGACCAATAGCGTCACAGATTTTGCGCGGGACATTTTTAAAATTTAATTTAGGAAAAAATTTTGATAGAAAATATTATATTATTACTAATTACTTTTTCTCTCTATTTTTGATAATTTTTATTTTAATTTAACGATCTAGAAATACATATGATGCTTACAAGACATTAAAACTTAATTAAGATATCTTTTTTTCAGTACCTTTAGTATAATTTTTTTTATTCTGTAATTGTATTAACTGTGATCTACAATTCTTTTAAATTTTTTTATATACTTTTAAATACTTAACCACAATGAAGTCGAAACTTATGCATTCATTAAATTATGCTCAATTTACTTACTCTTTCAGTTTTTATTTAAAACAAAACTAGCATGTTTATCTAACTTTTTTTTTTATTACATATAAATTATAATTATTTTTTTTATTTCATATTTAGAATCAAAGTCTGCTTAATTTATCCTTATAAAAATGATTACAATAAAGAAAAATGCATGGAAAACGTTCAGGTTGAGTGAATGATTAAATAAACAAGTAATGTATGATTACTATATATATTATATTCAAAGGCATTTTTAATTCTTTAATCATGATAACAGGATGCCTTTTATCATGAGACAAACTATATCTCTATTAGTCATTTATACATTATATTATATTCTTGTTTATAAAAAAATGTTTTGAATTTTTGTATTTTTAACATGTTAATTAGCTGAATGATCACACATCGTATAGTGTGGAAATTTATAAATGCATATATAAATCAAAAATATCAAAACATTACAATATTTAACAACAAATATATATTATTCTTCATATATATTTATTTTTTCTTTGATTTTATTTTTATTATTACTACATGTTCTTAAAACTAATGTAGATATATAGACGCAGCCTAAACAGGTCGTCAATAAAGTAATTATGAGAACAATATAATAGTGCTGCAGATTTCCAACTGGCATTTTCAATACATTTGGAGAATGTGTTATCTATATTGAAATTCAAAATTATTTACGAATAACAATCACATTTTTTTAAATATCATATTCAACTTACCTCATTATAAGAATACTTAGACCAATTACATTGCTTGATATCACAAGCAGAACATGGGAGTAAATAGTTTTTAGTATCTTCTTTAGTAGTAATATTACAGTATATAAATAGACTAGGTTTTGGAATATTAATTTTTTCATACCTGGAAGTAAATCTATATTAGACCATGCTTAGAACTTGGAGGTAATAATAAACACAATAAAAAAATTACAATTCTTTAAATTTAATTTTTTAAACGATTTAACTGAATATATATTTTATATTTTAAATACTTCAACATTTACCCTCCATCGACTTTTGCAGAATGATATCTCAAATGTATTGGCAAATTCAAACTTATTGCATCATTTATTGATGAATAAACATAGACATTTAATTCTTTTGATAAATGCTCAGGTTTTTCAATATCCACTTGTTCCAAAGCACATGCTGATAACTACAAAAACATAGATTGAAAGTTAAATGTTTGTTTCACCAAATAGATTTCAGTGCTTAAACCTGATTTAGTCTTCGTAACTCATTTAGTTGATCACTGTTAACATAAACACTGGACGGTAAGACTTGATGTAAGCAGAGCGTACAATGGTCTTTGAGGCTGTTTGAGTTTGAATCAAATTGTAATGAATACAGAACGTTACTGAAACATTAAGAATGGTTATAACAATATATTAAATTATTTTCAATTTATTTAAATTTTATCAAACCTATGATGTCCATTATCTATAATACTTTGCGAGAAATTAATTTCAGGTGTATGAGACATTGCTGTTGTGACTAGAATGCATTGACAAATGCTAAATATTTTTAAAATCATTATGGATCAATGCTAAATAACTGAATTTTTGAATACTAATGTGTTAAGTCCTAAATTTTTCTTAAAATCATTATAAATTAGACTTAAATAACTTATGTTTTGTATGACATTAAAACATTTTAAATAACATAACCTATAATTTCACTGACAGTTGACACATGCTGATTACTGTTACACACTTCATAATAATTCTCGTAAGACGTGAAGTTGGCAATGAAGCAATTGTAACGGTTTTCGATTTCAAATCTTTTAGTTAAATAAAGAATATTCGTCTTGATTTCTATCACTGCAAAATGTTTTCTTAAATTTATTTACCATCTATTCGCAAAATTGTAAATTATTATTCCACTTAACGAAGACTGACACAAACTTATGTTTTAATATAAGTTGTCAATTTATAATTTACAATTCTAAAATGGACTTACTTAAATATCAAAGATGTTTTAATTATTGAGAGAATAAATAAAATAAAATATTTTTTTTATAAATAAATTAATTATGAGAGATGAGGTTTGTTCATCGGAAATATCAACAAAACAAGTCTAAATTTATCTCAGGGTACATCATGTAGAAAAACAGTGTTAAATTCTAAGGTCTCCTAAAAGGTGACTAATTTTCTTTGTAATTATTGAGGAAATAATGTTTTTTTAAATTAATTATTGTTTTATAACAGTTATCTTTATCAATAGTGTTGCTGTATAAAACACTTCTCATATGTAGAGTCAAAATGTTTGGAACGCACCTGGAATACACCTGAGGCAAATCAAAATTAATACAGTTGCTTTTTTTTTTGCAAATAATTATTTGAAAAATTCCTAAAACACATTGAAAACGTAATCGTTAACTAAATAATATTTTTATAATTCAATGTTATTTTTTAATATTAATAATTTATTGTATTTGTCCAGGGCTACTATAGCATAGGATCATTTAAAAACGTTATTTGCACTTTTAAAAATTGCGCTATTAACACCAAAATGCAAAAAATGAAAAATTTTTGTTCCCTATAAAATTTGACTAATTGACTTTATAAACGTTAAGGAAGTAAAATACTTTTTAATTAAATGTTGTTTTATAACAATTGCAACAATCACTACATCTGGTGCATGTAAAAATCCTCCATTCAATTGCAATGATTAACAAATATTTAATGTTTAATACAATGCTTAAATTAACATTTTGACTGAAATAATGCAATTTGATTCTAATACTTTTAAGTCCTTAGAAGACTTTAAAGGGAAAACTTTTACTTGGAAATTAAAAAATATTTTTTGTGTTAAAAATCAATTGTACTGCCAATAAAATTAACTGAAAATGTTGCTTTCTATAAAAATCATTGAAGAATTTTTTAAAATAAAATGCATTATATAATCACATTGTTTTTGACGACTAGTAAATAATGGGCATTACCAGTTTGATTCCCAGCGGCGGCAACCAGGTTGTCTCATTATTTCTAATATCTAATGATTGGTAATTTGTTTATAATGTATAGTTCATAATTTATACACTTGTGTCATACTGATTTTTCATTAAACCAGAGTTTAAAAGTTATTAGAAATAAATAGTATTTAATTACTAAATACGGTGCTCCCAAAAAGTGTTCCAATTTAATACTACCCCAAGAAAGACTCAGTTAACTGTTTCTATTTATAATATAAACAAATATATAGATATTTTTATTTCTTGAATGAATGTACAAGTTCAAATTGATATAAAGAACACACACACTACTAAGCTTCAGTATAAAACTATTATCATCAAATCGCATTTAATTAGATATCAGACTGAAACATACATCATACGTCCACTTGTCGACGAGAAGCTAACAAGGGTCATTGGTGAATTATTTAATCAATTTTAAAAATATTTAAATAAATAAACCAAAATAAAATAAAATACGTAATAATACTAAATATTTTGAATGATCGATATTATTTTATTGATCATTCAGTAATAAGAGTAAAAGTGCTTATAAATAGTGAAGTGAGCATTTTGCTTCAAACGATCAAGAGCAGGTTGTGTACAGTTATCTACATTTTAGTGTTCATAATTATTAATAGTTTTAGTAATTATTAATTTTGTAAACTTTAGTCATATTTATCACATATGAAAAAGTTTAATTACTGAGGAGTGCTATACTTGGATTAATTCTGCTTTGGACAATCAAGAGCAGGTTGTTTATAATTATCTATTTCATAGTTATAGTCATTCAAATAACTATTGGTTTCACATAAAATTGGTTTTGTAAACTTTTCTCATTATCATTTTACATGATAATAATTTAGTTGTCGAACAAAGTTATATTTGAAACCATTTTTCCAAGGGCAGGTTGTTTATAATTATTGTTTATAATTTTTAAATTTTAAGAAATGACTACTGGAGCTACCCGTGAAGGATATTCCTTCAGAAATGTTAAGATCAAGACAACAGAAAGTTGGTTAAATCTTCAGAAATCAGAAAGTGGAGCTGATGATCTTTGGAGAATACATGACAATTTATATGATCTATCAGAATGGATCGAAAAACATCCCGGTGGAAAAGATTGGCTTCTAATAACCAGGGTTAGAAAACAGAGTAATTGATATTAATAAATATTTAAGGTACTTGGCAACGACTATTATATATACCATTCTAGAAGTTCATATTTATATTGTAAGTGGTAACGAAACCATTTATTACAAAATAGTGTTCTCTGATAAAAAGGTGCAAATTTAGGATTGTATGTGTTTTTTTCAATTTTTGTCATGCAAAATGATATATAGATAATTCCTTCCCCTGATTTGTAAATTTTTGACACTCAAAATATTTTGTCACCCATATCATAAATCAGTGGCTTTTATAAATTAATTATCACTAAATTTTTCAAGAGTTAATATGAAGTAAAAATATATGAATATTATATATATATATATATATATATATATATATTCAATTGTTTCAATGTATAAACTATTCAGTTATTTGCATTCTTACCACGACAATGCTATATTCTGACCTTTGCCATGATGTCTTTGGAACTTGCCATGACTTGTTCGAATAATCTTTGTCATATGATTGATTTTATATTGCTATTTGCATTCATTAAATTTTCTCTATTCACGTATTATTCAATTATATTTCATGTTCAACTCGTTACAAATGCAGTTTTACCGGCTTTTTTAAAATTATGCTTTTTGTAGTTTGCACATTGCCCCGAATCTTATTGATGGATTAGCATATTTTATAATATCGTTACCATAATAAATAATGATCATGTAATTATATTTTTATAAATAGACAATATTATTACTCTTCTTATGATTTAGTAAGATGGTGTTAGTATAATTTCATAATTTTTCCATTGAAGAATTATGCAAAAGTGCAAGCATAATTTATCAGTTTATTTGTGTCTGTCTCTATTTATGAGTCAGATTATTTTGCATATATTTTTATGCATTAATTAATTGCTAATTTAAATGCTCTATGTACTATTTTTAGTACAAATTTTTTTTGTAGATGTAGATGTAGATTTCTATTGAATAATCTAAAATTCTGACATTCTGAAAATTCTCTTGGTCATGAAGAATAAAATTCCACATTTGTTCAAATTGTTATAAGTTATCGATCAAATACAAAATGTGCAAAAATTGTAAAAATCTCTTAAAAAAAACTAGAGATTTAGGGTGTGAATTTATAATCATAAATAAACCCATTTGAATAAGTGATATAATATTAAAAAAATACAAAAGCATATTTTTTATTAAAGGGAATGGATATTACGGAAGCATTCGAAGCCCACCACATATCAGACAAAGCAGAAAAAATGCTACCAAAATTTTTTTGTACGAAAAGTCAACACCCCCAGAAGATCACTATTAACTTTCTCCGAAGATGGGTTCTACAAAACTTTAAAAAGAAAAGTTAGCGCCAAACTACAAACTGTACCAAAACAAGAATCTGTTAAGACTAAATTTATTCTAGACACTCTTCTAACAGTCACTTTTTTGGCTGCTATTTTAGCTGTTTATAACAGATTTGCTGTGATATTAGCTGGTACAACTTTGACCTGGACTTGCGTGGCTGCTCATAATTTTTTTCATCAAAAAGATAACTGGAGAATGTACACTTTTAATTTATCGTTCATGAACTACAGGTAATAAAAAAATAATAAATTCGTTTAATCAATTTTTATTAAAGTTTAGACCGGGACTTCAGGAGTAAAAAAGTCCTCCATCAATATTTCAAAAAACAAATAAATTTTAAGGATACTATTTTAAAGTAGGGGGCAAAACCAGCCATGGTCTCAAATCAGTTGAGTTAACTTTTCTCGTTGTGAGAACATAATACAAATATCTTCGTCTCAAGATAATTTCATATTTATCAATTTGTCATAGAGAAACGACCGTTGTTCCCAACAATTTTAATATATCGAGATTACGTTCTATGCAAGTTGACCTTTGTGACCTTAAAAGAATTATATACTACTGGTTTTGTAAATCAACATAAATATTTTCATATAGAAATCCTAGTTTAGTAGCTCGTTTTTAATAACTGATTGAGTTTCAAAACACATGATAATTCACCAATTATTAACTAATTATTTTTTCGAATATTGTACTCCAATTTAACTAGGTTTTATTAACACTTTGCAAAAACTTCCCAAAGCTAGTGAATTAACTGACTTCGCATGCATTATCGCATCATTTATATCCAAATACACTCATCGACATAGAATGTGCAATGGCAGAACCTTTTCTGATTTGGTACCCTGAAGAAAAAGGCATTAGGAAATATATATCTGTTGCAATATCTCCTTTTATTTATTCAGGCATCTATTTTTCCCAACTGGGCCTAAGGTAATGGTATTGAAGTTAATTTGATTAAGCACGATATCAAGCAGTACAATATTAAATATCCGCTTACGGTTATAGATCTTAAATATAAACTCAGTTGAAAATTGCCTTTTGTGAGCATTTATGTAACACATCATGACAACGTTATTAAATAATAAAACATAAAAAATAAGAGTGGTTGGCCATTGGGTTGCTCTCGGAAAAAATAGATTAGAAAATTAGATTTGAAATTATTAGATGCATTATACTCATAGAACATATAGTTCTGGTCACCGTTGAAAAAAATATAAAAATATCTCCTTTTATTTATTCAGGCATCTTTTTTTCCCAACTGGGCCTAAGGTAATGGTATTGAAGTTAATTTGATTAAGCACGATATCAAGCAGTACAATATTAAATATCCGCTTACGGTTATAGATCTTAAATATAAACTCAGTTGAAAATTGCCTTTTGTGAGCATTTATGTAACACATCATGACAACGTTATTAAATAATAAAACATAAAAAATAAGAGTGGTTGGCCATTGGGTTGCTCTCGGAAAAAATAGATTAGAAAATTAGATTTGAAATTATTAGATGCATTATACTCATAGAACATATAGTTCTGGTCACCGTTGAAAAAAATATAAAAATCTTTCTGGCATGCTTTCGCAAATATATTGAAGCTACCATTGCAACAAAATGATATTTAGGAATATTTATATCCTTGAAGCTCCTTTGTTTTTATCATAGACGTCTTCAAAATCAATTATTTACAATTCTCTCATGAACAAGGCAAAGTAAAATCATTTCATTTCATAAAAATATTTTTTCTCTGACTTATTTCGAGACGTATTTCTCTTTCTTAAAAATGCATTAGATTAATTGATGGAAATTCATGTTTTGGCAATTTAATTTTTTTTCTAGTCATTTAAACAATGTAGCCTTAAATCTATATTATACGTAATTATTGAATTACATAATTATATTTAAACTTTGAATCAAAAAAATTATTTGCATGTCCTATGCATTTTGAATCTACTTTTCATTTCCTCGATATCAATTTTTTTAGGGTTGGAACGGCATAGATTCAATTTCTATTCAAATTCTAATTTTACAAAAATTTTAAATTATTTAATTTCAGTTTTAATTTCACAATCCGTATCTTCTAAATATTTTATTCAATTAAATTTTATTTAAATTCAGATTATTCTCAATGAGCAAGCAAATGCGCATTGCAACTCCGATCTGGGAAGAATTGATACCATTAAGTTTACCACTTTTGATGTTAATTGTAACTAAAGAAAGTGTTTTGGGCGTTCTAAGCACTTGGATATTGATTATAATTTGCTCAAGTTTTATTTTTGGAGTTATCGGAATTAATGCTGCTCATCATCATCCTAGAATCTACCATCATGGGGATAAACCAAGGTAATTGTAAAAATCTATTAATCTGAAGATCTATTAATTTGCTCAATTCATTTGAACTTTTAAATATTTTCCAAAATTTTAGAAGTCGACTTGCATAAATATTACGATATTTATTTAATTTTTGAATTAGTTTAAATTTAATTTCTGGTTTTAGGTGTCAATAAATTTTTTTACCAATTAATATCTTTATCCCTTATAAGTACTATAAGAAAGAACTTTTGGATTATAAACCCACGAATAATAAAATTCAATCGATCAAATGCTGATCCTCAAAAGTACTTTTTTTTTAAATACTATTAATGAATATTGCAATTTATTTTCCAGAGACAATTTAGATTTCGGTATCTATCAACTGGACGCAGTGATGGATAGAACAGATATAACTGGTTCAATATTTTTGGTATTAACAATTTTGGAGACCATGGACTACATCATTTATTTCCAACCATTGATCATGCCTATCTTCCACATTTGTACCCAGTTCTGGACGAAGTTTGTAAAGAGTTCAAAATAAAGTTAAGATTTACGACTCAATGGGATTTAATAAAAGGACAATTTAGGCAGTTACTTAATACAACGCCAAATCCAAAGAGCCCCGGGTTGTGAATTTTTTTTATCTTGTTAATAGTTTTAATATTATGAGAGGGGATTTAAAATATGTATATAGTATATGAAAAAAATGTATTTGTAATTTTTTGTACTTATTATTATATTTTTACGGCTGCCATAGAATAGACCAATAATACGCAGGGCTATTTTATGTAGCGCTAGTCATACAAAATGGTACTAAATACTGTCAAAATGACATGTATTTGCTAGTATATTTTCTTTCAGAATAGGCTCCTAAATACATGTTGATATGTAAGAAAATGATTTGGAATATGTAAAATTGAGCATGAAATGCTTGGGTAAATATATCGCAGACAAATGCAATTGTAATGGACACCTGTGGATAGAAATAATCGATCGATGTATCATATCTTGAATAAAAACACTATTGTATCATAACGATATTAACTTGTTTATTGTTGCCTTATGAAGCCATGTATACAACTTAAGTCACACATACAATAGATAACAATGCACAGAACAATTACTGTATAAATCGCGTGGTGTTTTGCTCTAGCGCTCTTTTGGGGCTGTTGTAAGTTACGTGTCTCTAAATTTTGCACTAGACCATTTTATAAATAAATTCTAGTTTTTTTCACCAGGCGATTCACACAGTAACAGTGCTATTCAAACTTTTGAGTATTGGCAACATTCGGAATATTATATTAAATACATTAAATTAAATTTTCACATTTGTATAATAATTCGACAGAAAAAAAGTAATTACAAAATAATGAAAGTATATCTAGGTAAGCTTAGATGTGATGCTGTTGATATTTTTAATTGACAGGCGACGTTTGATGTTATTGGGTCGATGAAAATATGTAATAATGTGCTTAGGACTGTACAGTTGTTTAGTATTAGTATACAAATGTACATTACTAAGCACAATTGAACGAGCTGATATTTTTTTACTTTTAAATAATTTTTAAAAAATATTAATGTTTACTGTACAAGGCAGCCACGTTCGCTTTTTTAAAATTAATTATAAATAATTTAGAACTCGCTGTCAGGGTTCAAGTCGAACCTAGGCGGGAAAGCCATTCCGTCAAATTGTGGGCGAGCTGCTGTTCTTGCGGGCTGAAAGAAAATTTCACAGGCTTACACAACAGTCAAAAGTAAAGTAATTTTTGTTGGGGGCATGTGAGACGGATTCAGATTATAATGTGATCGTGCATTGTGCGATATATGATTCATTGTAAGAGAGAGATGGGGTTTGATTTTGTATCAAAATTCTCAAAAAGTTGAGAATTTTGAATGTGGGCACGTTATATCGTGCTTTACACAGGGGCTTATATTGTTTTGACTTACTGCTGAGAGATAATCCAATGGGAGCTAACGGCCTCCAACGGGCTATAAAATAGATCCCAATATAAAAAGCCGTTATGCCATGACTAAGTAATAAATTTAGAACTTACCACTGGGCTGCCACCTCGTGCCATGGATCCACCACGTCCCTTCGCGCGGAATTTGCTGACGGCCTGTTCAGCCAAGTCAGCGCGTTCTTCAGCCTCTTCCAATTCTTGTTGAGCCTTGCGGAATTTGGCAAGATTGAGGGCGGCGATTTCTTCGGCTTCTTCGATCTGCCTCTTGTATGTCTTGATCTTTTGTTGTAATTTGTCTACAAGGTCTTGCATACGTTCGTGGTTCTTGCGGTCTTCTTCAGCTTGGAAGCTAAGTTCCTTAATGCGACGTTCAGATTTGCGCAAGTTCTTTTGAGCATCGGCGTGCCTCCTTTGTTCACCGTCTAATTCATTCTCCAATTCGCGTACGCGTTGTTCCAACTTGGCAATAGCCTTCTTGCCTCCCTTAAGGGCGTTGGCTTCAGCTTCATCCAAACGGACTTGCAATTCCTTAATTTGTGTTTCAAGACCCTTTCTGAGTTTCTCTTGGGTTTGGGCATGGTCTTGTTCAGCGCGGAGTTCATCAGCCAACCTAGCTGCGTCAACCATGGCCTTCTTGGCTTTTTCTTCTGAGTTCTTGGCTTCATTGAGAAGTTCGTCTAAGTCAGAATGCAAGGTTTGCAATTCGGATTCCAATTTCCTCTTGGCAGCAGATACTGAAGCGTTTTGTGCGGAAAGTTCGTTCAATTGCTCGTGAGCATCTCCCAATTCTTGTTCGGCTTGGCGGCGGCCTCTGTCGGCTTGCTCCAATAAGGTACGGGATTCTTCCAATTCGTTTTGGAGAGCATTGGCACGGCGTTCAGAAATGCCAAGTTGTTCACGGGCATCATCACGTGCACGTTGTTCTTCCTCAAGGGCGGTTTGTACATCCTTAAGTTGTTGTTGGTAACGCTTGATGTTCTTCTGGGCCTCGGCGTTAGCCTAAAATATTAAAAATATTGGTTTCAATATGTTCAATTATAATATTATTCATAATTAATGAATATATTCTTTACCTTGTTAGCATGGTCCAGAGCAATTTCAAGCTCGTTGATGTCGGCTTCCAACTTCTTCTTCATGCGTAAAGCCTCAGCCTTGCCCTTGGCTTCGGCTTCAAGAGAGGCTTGCATGGAGTCAAGTGCACGTTGGTGGTTCTTGCGGGTGTTTTCGAATTCTTCTTCCTTCTCTTGGATGCGGCGATCGATTTCTTGACGAACTTGAGACAATTCCAATTGGGATCGGAGTACTTTGTTTTCTTCTTGTTCCAAAGCGGCTTCAGCTTCTTCCAAAGCAGCTTGTAATTCGTCTTTTTCGGCTTCCAAGCGTTTGCGTGCCTTTTCGATTTCATGGATGTTGCGGCCACCTTCACCAATTTGGTCAAGGAGATCTTTCACTTCATCAGCAAGGTTCTTGTTTTCACGGCGAACAGCTTCAAGTTGTTCTTGACCTTCCTCGTATGCTCCCTTAAGGCGGAACAATTCGGTGGAGTAGTTGCGGCATTCCTTCTGACTGGCATCAAGTTCAGCAGCCAAGTCATCAACCTTGAGTTTCCATTCTCCAATGATTTTGTCGAATGCTTTCTGTTTCTTTTCGGCGGCGTTGGCAATAGCGTTGGCACGGTCGACTTCAATTTGTAAGTCTTCGACTTCAGTGGCCAAACGTTGTTTAGTCTTCTCAAGGGAGATGCATTTCTGGTTAAGAGATTCAATGGTCTCTTCAGCTTCAGCAAGACGGGCTTGCAATTTACGTTTAGCTTCTTCGAGTTCTTCAGAGCGGGCGACTCCTTCAGATTCGTATTTGGAGCGCCACAATTGAGCTTCGGCGTTAGCCTTGCTGAGTTGGCGTTGCAAATCGGCCTTGCCTTCAGCTTCCTCTTCAACTTGTTCGCGGACGGTGTCGAGGTCGTGTTCCAAGTTACGGAATTTGCCCAAAAGTGTAGCACGTTCGCGGCTTTCTTCATCAGCCAAGCGTTTGGTGTCTTCCAATTGGGTGGTCAATGACACCTTGATCTTAGATAATTGTGAAACTTGTGATTCGGCTTCTTCCAATTGGCGCAAGAGGTCGGAGTTTTCAATGGACAACTTCTTCTTGGCGGAGTCGAAGTCGTTGAGGGTGCGGTTGGTTTCATCCAATTTGCCTTGTACTTCGTTGAGGCTGTGTTGCAATTGCTTGGCAATCTTTTCTTGTGCGGCCTAATAAATGCAATATTATGAATATTGTGCTATGTTCTAGTAATATTTACATAAACTACTTGTTAGTTTCTTTTAAGAATGTTATTTACACGAATGGATAACGACACAAATAGTTAAGATGAGTTATTTATTAAGGATGCGGACATATTTATCAAGTGAGTCTATTGAAATAATTTTAATGTGATAGTTGTTAACTGTGCTGTGATAATATTGTGCTTTATTTAGTTTGTGTTATATGTGAAGTGATTAAATATTGTACTGAGCCATGTTATGATATGCGAAGCTGTAATGTTTGTTGTTTTGTGTACCTTCTCGTTAGCAAGGTGGTCAACTCCGGAGCGAAGTTCATTCAATTCACCGAAGTATTGGGCCTTCTCCTTCTCAGCCCTATATGAAGGAATAGGTTTGAAAATATAGTGTGATCATAACAGTGTTTTATGTGGCGTGTAATATTGTATATATATAATATAATAAACATGTCTCGAAGTTGCAGTTCATCCTAGTGGATCAGGAACCTTGGAAAGGCAACAACACAAAAATATTTAGGGTATCATGCTTTTAAACAGCAGTACCCATTTACCTTATCCCTGGCTAAACCATCAACAGCTGAGCGCATATTATTGAGTTCATTCTGCATGGAGGAGCGATCATGTTCCGCTCTAAATTGAATTTATATTAAACATTTCATAAAGATAGATAATATACACATATATAAAATAAAATAATCTTGCTTAAATAGTAATAAAATCGATCAGTTTCAATAAAAAGTTATTGCATAATGAAAATCTATAAGATTTGCTGATTAGCAATTCCGTATTAGATTTTAAATGCTTTTATGAAAATAATTATCTATGAACTTACTTGGCCTTAAGTTTGTTCAATTGGTCGACTTGTTCACCCATTTCAGCAACGGCGTCATTGTGCTTCTTGCGGAGGTTGGCGAGGGTTCCTTCATGTTGGATGTTGGCTTCTTCGAGGTCACGGCGGAGTTTGCTGAGTTCGGCTTCACGTTTCTTGTTCAATTCGATTTGAGCGGATGTGGCACCACCGGCTTCTTCCAAACGCTCACCCAATTCTTCCAATTCACGAGCCAAGTCAGAACGTTGTTTCTCAGCCTTAGCACGAGCTTGACGTTCGGCTTCGACTTCTTCTTCGAGTTCTTCAATGCGGGCTTGGAGTTCCTTGATTTGTTTCTGGAGTTTGCCAACGAGAGATTGTTCGTCTTCCAATTTAGCGGTGAGAGATGAGATTTCCTTGTCCTTGCGTTGGATGGTTTGTTCGAGTTCCTTCTTGTTGCGTTCCAAATCAGCGACGGCTTCCTGGGTCAGTTTCAAGTCTCCTTCAACCTTCCTCCTGGACTTTTCTACATCACCGCGCAATTTCTTCTCGCGTTCCAAAGAGTCTTCCAATTCGTCAAGGGTTTGTTCCAATTTAGCCTTAACTTTGTTAAGGTGGTTGACCTTGTCTTCAGAGGCTTGGAGTTCTTCAGCGGTCTTCTGGTTGTTTTCACCTTGCATTTTCTTTTCCTTGTTCAATTTGTTGATGAGTTCATCTTGGTGGGCAATTTCGTCATTCAAGCTGCGGATTTGGTGATCTTTGGTAGCTTTGTCTTGTTCGGCCTTTTGTACGCTGAGTTCCAAGTCTTCAATGTCTTTCTTCATTCCAGAGATTTCTTGTTCCAATTTCTTCTTGGATTGGAACAATTGGTTTCTGGCATCTTCCTCTTGGTTCAAACGTTCTTGGGTTTCCTGTAATTTAGCAAATTAAAAAAAATAACAGATAGATAATATAACATTGACTAATCAAAAATAATTTCTAAATATTTGATAATTATCTGATATCCAATTAATAATAATATGGATATATTTGTACTATTCCGACCTGAATATATACATTTAATTAGTAATATATTTAGAATAATAATGCTTGCATTGTGATTCCTTACTGGATAAGATTTGGCAATTATTCAAAATTTTAATCTGATAAGTCCATTCATTTAAGTAGCATTGCATTATGATAGTCATTACGTTAATTAGAAGTAAGATCATTGGCACAAAACAAGTAATATAATCATGCATGCATCTTAGTTATTAATGTGCGATAGAAAATCTGGAGCGCGATATGACGCACATAACTAAAAAACTTACACACGCACAAAATCCAGAAGATATTTTTGAACTATCATCACCCACTAATATTTGGTCGCAAACATACTTAGGCACCGCCCGCGCACTATTTTATGATAAATATATTCAGGTTAAATATACTCGGGAAATCATGTTAAACGTTTTAAATGATTGCTCCGCGTGTCTTATTATAGATTTTGTTATGGCATATCTATACCAGGTGGCAATTCAGTTTAGTAAACTAGCCACTTAAAAACTTTGAGGTAAATATTTGGCATATCTCCAGAAATAAATATGCTGCAAATCAAATTGAAAGTGTTTATAAAATCAGTGTGATTCACAATCCAAAATATTGGAAATTGTATAAATTCGGTAAGCGTATCGATTACATACCGGAGAAAAATGCATATCAATTTGATTAAAAATTTGTTACTTACACGGAGTTGGTTATCCAAATCATTCTTCTGGGCGGTGAGTTTAGCTGTCTTTTCTTGGAATTCAGAAAGGGATCCCTTCTCTCCTTCTAAGCTAGCCAACAATTCGGTCTTTTCGGCCAAAAGTTTGCTGTTGAGTTGTTCCAATTCCTTTCTGAGCTTCTCTTCCTTTTCAAAGGCTTCTTGGGCCTTTGCTGCCTTCTCTTCCAATTTCTGCAATTTCATTAAACCATTTGTTACAGCAGGACATTCAAAGTCGACATCCATCGCGATTGATTTCACTTCAATATTTTTATGAACACAAAAATATGAATGCTAATTGTAATTGCATACAATCGCTACAATAGTATACTACTGTCCCGTTGTAGTATATCTATTAAGCGTCGCGAAAGGGGAAGAATCCCGAATATTCGAAGTGACTAAGTCACCAGTTGAACACAAACTGGATATATTCCACAAGTTATGATTGAAAAATGAATTTAATATTCGTGGGCCGTCCCCACTTTAGCGATCAAAGTTTTCATATCTTAAGTCATCCAGTCAGGATTGAAGATGGTAGTAGGGGAAAATATGATATTAATAAGAAGGCACGTACAGCATTACTCAAAATTAAATAGCAGCTGTTGAGTATCAAAAATAGTACGCGAATATGAAATATGCATGTTATACGATAAGTTATGACGATTTCGTAACTTTGTTACAACTAATAATTTTTCAAAATTAGAACTCTATTTTTAAATATCAAACATAATTCGAAAGGACACAGAGTAAAAATAAAAAGAAATTATTAAAAAATAGTTTGGTTTGGATTTCAGATGAGCAGCATCTATTTTGAACTTGTGTTCCAGTGACACTTGATACGCATATCATATGAATATCATACTAAACAAGAAGGTGAATGATACCGGCGCGGAGGCAAAAGTAAAAGTTAAGGTAATATAATTATAAAATCGAACTCATATTTCCAAAAATATTATATCGTAAATCATATGAAATCAAGTTGAAATTTAGCATTAAATAGATATAAATAATTTTCACTTACGGCGATCTCGTCCTCGATACGGGTGACGTTGAGGAGGGGCTTGACCTTCTGCCACATCTTCCACCATGGCCAGGTGCGCAATTGCAAGTATTTGCGCAAGTTCCTTTGTACAACTTGGAGGGCAACTCTATTAGAGAAAAAATATAAAGCATTAGTATCTGCACTCGTTCTAAAAACTAAAGAGTGACGATGAATGACATAGTGCTTCTAGAGACAGTTGCATATTTTCAAAAGTGTGGTGTTCAGTTTGAAGCATTATTTAGAAAAGATTATGTGTTATGAAAAATGACTATATTGAAGTAAGGTAGACCGGTGCAAAATAGCCCGCAAATAAAAAGGTCTATGTTGACTGTCCACTGAAGTGATTGCCACTTGGACAATTTCAAAAATAGTGAAAAAGACATATTTCTATAACTGAGAATTTCACTGTTATGTGTTACTTATGTGTTGTGATGTAGTTTATTGATTAAGACAGTATAATTACTGAAAGTTAAATCGGACTTTTGTGATTCGCCCTAAGTAACAATGCTATCTACTATCTATTATGGGGCTGGTCAATATAGATTATACTGAAATAGTATAAAAATCAATTCCAAAACTGAACCAACTAGTGCAATCTAAGAGTGTTGGCTTGTTGATATATATCATAAAATCTTCATACCAAATATTTTATTTCTATTACCTTTGTTCTTGGAGCTTGGCGTATTCCTTACGGGCCAAGTAACCACGAATCCAGGCTTGCATCCAGGTGATGATCTTGCCAAGACGGTCGTCACGCAATTCTTCCATCTGACCCAAGACTCCGGCACGGAAGAATACCTATATGTTGCATAAATTATTTTAAACCCCCGAAAAAATTGCATATGACAGCTTCATGCAATTTTTATGGAAACACACAGATGTCACATAAAGGTTATGGAAAACAGATTTGTTGTAGAAGCAAACTTGATTCAATTATTTACTAACAAGAAATTACAAGTTGTTGAAACATATAAAAGTAGTAGACCAGATGATTAGATAAAGATAGTGTGAAGAGAATTTTGTAAATATGACAATCATCGTAGATTTTATCATGCTTATTTACAGAAAAATAATTTTCATAAATGTACATTAAATTTTTTTTTATCATGCTTCATGAAAGATAATGTTTACAAGATAATGTATAAGTTGTGTAATACATGTTTTTCTTTATTTACAGATACATGCAACATTTGGCATCAGCAGTAATGGCTGAGCTGACCTTTGTTTTACCAAGTCTGAATTGGTCACTTGGCAAATCAATATGCTGGATGATTACTTCAGTTGCTTTTTCAGGTTTAATAGGCTCTTTCACTAGGTGAGGGCACAGAATTTTGTAACTGTGTTCAAAGAGGATCACAAAAAACAATTGTTAAATGTTAAATTATAAAACAAGATTGGATTATCAAAAATGAATACACGTTAAAATCTAACTAACTTATGATCTAAAAACATGAAAACTAAATTATATACATGTTGTTATTGAATCAATAGTTGTTATCCAAATTGTTCCGTAGCTCGGATGGTGATGGTGTTAATGTTTTTTAAGGCACACAAACTTGTGATTTCTCTGTCTCGGAAATCACTTAGTAAAACAAATTCAAATCTTTAAAACTGATACAAAGTTATATATATTTTTTATCAAATTTTCACGATGTATCAGTTTTTAATGAATGGAAATTTTTCAAAATAGGGTTCATGCCTTGGTGTGACCCAATCGGTACAATTCTGTGTCTAAGCCTGTTGCGTCCAAGATGGCTTCGGCGCATTTCTTAGGATCCGTTTGTTTAGCAACTTCGGCAGGGTTCAGGATTTTGTAACTGGATTCACAAGATATGAGGGTAACACATGTTTCATACAAAATAACAATACCAGGGTAACGGACTTACATATGGGCTTATGACTAAATCTTAAGACAATATCGGTAGGGGCGGTTGGTAAGGAGATACAAGTATAATTTGGTAAACATGATATTAAAATAATATTTAAAACAAAGTATTACTTTCTAGTCTTTGAGTCAATATTAGTTTAATATCATGTTTAAGTACTAACTTTTTTTCATAAAAGTATAGAATATTTGACATGCATCAGGGTAAAATCGGGCACCTGTGTGTAAGGCTAAAATCGTGTTCATCATCCCCATATAGGGGTAGATTATATTATTCCTTTAAAATTTTCAGGCATCTGTGTATAAGGGTAAAATCGTGTCCATCATCCCCATATAGGGGTAGATTATATTATTCCTTTAATATTTTCACACACTTAATTTCTCCTCGTGTGTGTATTTGGGGGTCAAACAAAACTATGATACTGTATACTGAATAAAAAAATCTGATGGTTGGACGTATGAACATGCTGAAATAGAGACGATTCAAAGGAAAAGTCTCTCTTGCCTTAGTGTGTCCAATACGATAAAGATCAGGGTCTAAATTCACAGATTCAAGACATTTAGCTGCGGCGTTTTTGGGGTCTTTCTCAGCTTGCATGATGGCAGGAGCCAAAATCATATAACTATATTATAAAAATATTTTGTTTATCGCAAAGTTTAATAAATGAGATAAAAATATTTATTGTATGGGTGGAAAAAGTCGTAACTACAGTCAAACTTGGGCATGGGCATTATAAACCCTTAATATTGCACAAAAATGATGTAAAAAAATAAAGTGAAAATATTGAAGATTTTGATATATGTAATTATTGCCCAGAGGTTCACAAATAATCTATTGTTATATTATCCTTTAGGGTGGTCCTTAATATGGACATTTTCGAATTTCCTTGCTCCCAAGTGCTCAAATGGTTTTAAATTGATAAAAAACAATTCTCTGAAAGTTACAGCTCTTAATATTAACTTTTAAATAGTGCGCAATTCAATCAAACTTCGTATGGAAAAAGCATGCAAAAAAGTTGAAAATTAAAAAAAAAAATAGGTACAACTAGCGATAGCGATAAATGAATTAAAAGTGTCATTTTTTATTGAAAATTTGACGCTCTGCAAAATTTATGAAAATTTTTTCATGCTATCTCCATACATAACTTCGATTGAATTGCGTTCTATCTAAAAGACAATATTAAGAGCTAAAACTTTCAGAGAATTGTCTTTTATCAATTTGGAACTATTTGAGACCTTTGGGAGCAAGGAAATTCGAAAATGTCCATATTAAGGTCTACCCTAATGTCTTTATATTGCACAAAAATTATTAAGGAAAGTAAAGTGAAAATATTGAAGATTTTGATATTTGTAATTATTGCCCAGATGTTCACATATGATCTATTAATACCAAATTTCTATTTATATTTACCGTAATTACTACCCCTGTCCTTCACTAATACTAAATTTTAATGATGTTCGAAAAAAATCGTTAAAAAAATCGTTATAACTGCCTAACATAATCATGGACGTAGTAAACGCATCCACACAATTTAACAAAAAAATTTTAGATAAATATAAAATAATAAGATTTTTTTATATGATATGATTTTCCTGAGATTCACATTCAATCCATGGTTATTAAATTCCTATTCAAAAATTTAATGTAATTACGAATTGCATAACTCACTATCATTTTTACTTGTACTTATGATTTACTAAAACTAATTTTTATTAATTTTTGAAAAAAGAAATCGTAAAAATTCGTCTAAATATTATTTAAAAAAAGATTTTAGAAAAGTAAAGTGAAAATTTTTAAGATTTTCATACAAAAAAATTTGGCCCTGGAGTTCACATTTAATATTGAAACTAAATTCTTTTTAAGTAATTTAAAGTATTTTCTAATTATATTCCTACAAATAATATCTGTTATACTTAAGATTACTAATACTAAATTTTAATAAATATTGATAACTTAATTCAAATTTTTTTAACTCAATAAATGCGTTCTAAATACTCTTTAAATGCTGAATTAGATTATTTATATATTATGTAAATTAAATTATCTAAACTTTTTAAAATTTCTAAAAAAAGTTCAATTTGATTAATTTACAATAGAATTAAATAACTAAATTAAATTAAATTAATAAATTTAAATAATTTTTAATTAAGTCTCTATTTGCTATTGATTATACTGAAATGATGGCTCAAAAACAAAAATTAAATCTCTGATTCAATTATAGTTGTCTTATTGAAATTAAATTTCGCCTAATCAAAAATCCTAAATCGGCAATTATTCAAAAAAATTTTTTTTGAATAACAAGATTTTTTTTATTAAAAAAAATTTAAACTTACCGAAGTTTGAAGTCAGGGTATACCATACGATTGGGGAAACCTTTACGGCAAATACGGATACCTTCAAGCACACCGTTACAGGTGAGCTGGTGCATAACCAAGTGAGAGTCAATGAGACCTAAGAGGAAAAAAATTACGTAAGTTTTTGCAAATTTTCAAACCAAAAATGGATATTTTGTTATCAACTTACCGGCTTGTTTCAATTCGTTGGGAATGATACAACGCACGAAGTGAGGTTGAGTTGAACGCAAGGTGGTCATCAAGTTGTTCAATTGTTCCTAAATAGATAGTAATAATATTTAAGTACATTATACTGGTTTCTAAGTTATGCATTTTTTAGGAAAATAACACACTTGGTTATAAAAATCACACCATGCTGTTGATGGTTTTAGTAGTCGACGTATGAGGTAAATTTTTGGTTAGTATTGCTTGTAGTGTGCTGAGCAATATTTTTGAGGAGGTTTTTTGATGTCGATGTCGATGTTTATATTTAATACCCTTGATGTAATATTTTCAGGGCGAACTGCTGTGGTGGAGTAGTCTGAGTTGTAATGAGTTTTTGACTACACGAGAAGTATTTGTTTAGTAACTAATAAAAAATTTAGAAAAATTAAGTTTGTTGATAAATTTGGATCTGGAAATCCTAGTAGTTCAAAAATGTAAAAAATTTTCAAGTGTTAATAATTTTGTTTGTTCAAAATTTGGAAAAATTAGTTGTATTGTTGACACCAGTCGACAATGTGGCATGCTGAATCTGCTCATAGTTTTCATTCAATTTACCAGACAAATAAGATTTGCATCACAGTTTTGTCTGCTAATTTGTGCATTAAACTATGACCAGACTACAAGCATGTCCGTTCCCATCAAAGTGTTATTAATTAGGGTTATGCATGACATTATCGTTATCAAAGATTTCATCACATCTATGTCAAAACCGAATTTGCTTTCTGAAATTTCCAAATTCAGGAAGTAAATTTTGTCTTCCTGTTTGGAACAAACCTTGTATGAAGAAGATACGGTAGCAAAACCACCACCCTTCTTGCCACGACCTCCTGTGGATTCAAATCGAAAGCGAAATATGAGCGTTAGACACATAAAGCACGTACACATTTATATAAACCGTGTAGAATTGAGACATGATAATAGTGCAAATAGTGATTAAAAATAATAAAACGTGTATTTTTACCATCGCAATAAAGACTAAGCGTGACCTGACAATCATAGACAACATATAAAGGATTTTGGAGGCAAGAGTAGAACCAAATCATAATGCTATTATCTATAGAAGACATGGATGACATTTTCAATATTTTTTTAAATTTTCTTAACTCTTGATCAGGGAAGTGGTAAGGATAGACATTTATAGATTTTTGGAAAAGAGCCTTGATACATTCAGTATTCAGTGCATAATAAGTTCAGGCATTTGCAGTTACAAGGCAGGACAAGGGTTGCATGATGGGTGTAGTTACCCTGTAGAGTGAGGACACAGTCTGGAAGGCGGAACCCTTCACACGCTTGCCACCTAGTCATCAATTATAATTTAATAATCAAAATAATTATGAAAATTCTAAATACCGTGAATTGTAATAATATTCAACTTGTTGGCACTAGATATGTTTGATAGAATTTGACAACCAAACAATCTACTAAAATTTTTTTAACTTATCAATAATTTGTTGTAACTGTGATTATTCATCAATAAGTAAAAAATTCGACGCATACTATTATTTAAATCTTCGAAAAATGATGTAACCTAGCACCAAATCAAATAACTTTAAGTGCTATGTAATATAGAAGTGGATATGATAATTCAAGTGTATATTGCTTTGTAAAATAAAATAATAACAATTAAAATCATTTATGAGCCTGCTGGTCCCAATAGATTCGCATAACATACCCTTTCCTCCAGCTGGGTCAGCACCACCAGACTGTCCTGGATGGTCAGCAAAGATTTCGACGAGCAATTTGTTCTGGGATTTCTTGAATTGATCGACAACAGTGTCGTTCAAGGGATCCTTGTTCTTCTCAAGCCATCCAGTAATGTTGTAACCGACCTATGGTAATAAACTCATATTACTTCAAAATTTTTTACAAGTTTTAATCTATTTTCTTACTACGATACTTACATTACCAGCGTAGTGACCAATGGCGAAGTGGGCAGCGATTTGACCTGGCTTTGGTGGTTTGGGTTTCAAGTAAGGAGCAGATTTACCCAAGTGGTTGTTGTTCAATTTTTCTTCGAAGGTCTTGTCAGTAGCCTTGGGGAACATAGATTCTTCTTCAAGGATGGACAAGATACCCATGGGCTGTGGAAATTAGAAAACCGCATATGTTAGACAAATGTGGTAAATTGTAAACTGAAACGTGTAACACATAGAAGAGACAGAAAAAACAAGTACTTTGAAAAAATATATTGAAGTTGTAGGAAGTTATATATTTCATTTATTACACATATGAACTTACCTGGAGTATAAAAAACGTGCACAGTACGTTTTGTTAGATTAATACGGGCATCTACGATTAGGGTTCAATTCTATAATTTTTGTTCTACTTTAATTTATTATAATTTAGATAAAATTATTTCGCCATTCACAAATTTTAAAATTTTACATTTCAACTACAAAGATCTACAGCGATTTCTAATATCATCCAATTTCTATCCCAAATACCTTCTCAATAAGATCAATAGTTGCTTGTAGATCCATTCCAAAATCAATAAATTGCCATAAAATACCTTCTCTAGTATATTCTTCTTGTTCGATAACGAACATGTAGTGATTAAAATATTGTTGAAGTTTTTCATTGGTAAAATTGACACAAAGTTGATTGAACCCATTCGTCTGCCACCCACACAGAAAAGACAAAAAGTACAAACACAACATAAAACATTAGGAAACATAAATAGTAAAAGTTAGTAAGTGAACATCAGAAGAAGTTGTTAAAAATATTGAAATAGAGATAAAACATCATTAATTACATAAATTTAACATAAAGCTTATTTTGCTCATAACTGCTCTTTGTTATGGTAGGTCCAGTAAATCGTAATATAGAAGTAGTGTTGATAAAAAAATTGGTAATTTTACTATCAAATCTGATTTTTTTATTACGATTTGCTGGATTTAAGCGAAGCATTGGGCGCCCGATTCTTACGGGTATTGTTCCCAATACCTTTTCAATAAGGTCAATACACATTTGGAGATCCATGCCAAAATCAATGAAAGTCCATTCAATGCCCTCTCTTTGGTATTCTTCTTGTTCAAGTACGAACATGTGGTGATTGAAGAATTGTTGGAGCTTTTCATTGGTGAAGTTGATACATAGTTGTTCAAATCCGTTGAACTAAATTGGATTGAACAAACCAAATTATGTGGATATGTTAATAAAATAGGTAAATTTGCGTTAAGTAATAATATTAGATAGCATGGTTATATTATCTATAACATAATGTTGAGGTAGTCTTCGAGGGATTTAGTACCCTTTTTCTAGAATGTCCTGGAAACAAGATACCTTCTCAATTTAGTCTATATAAATGAGAAGATATTTTCAACATTAGGATGTGATTGTTCATTACAAATGTTAAATATTTTTACTGTAATAAACAACCATCTTCAGGATTTCAATTATCAAGATGTATGACAAAATTGCAACACTGGTTGCAATAATGCGGGGCTTCTATCCCGTTTCAACACCGATTAAATCAGCATCAGTCGACACAAAACGTAGATTTTTTTTCACCATGATTTGGATCTATTACCTTTTCAATCAAATCAATACAAGCTAACAGATCCATTCCAAAATCAATGAAGGCCCAGTCAATGCCTTCACGTTTGTATTCTTCTTGTTCAAGAACGAACATGTGATGGTTGAAGAATTGTTGCAATTTTTCGTTGGTGAAATTGATACAAAGTTGTTCGAAACCGTTGTACTATACATGCCATGGAGGAGACAGAAAATAGGACATTAACATAATGGTAACATAAATGGGGTATCACATCTAGATAAAAAATCAAAACATTATCAACTCAAATTGAGTTGACATTGTTTTGACTCCAATAACAATACATAAACATGTTGACCATTTGGTTCATTTTGGACCATTTGGTCAGAACGCCATTCAGGGAGACGCCACAGATGCTGAGAATAAAGAATATGAATTTTAGTCACATGAGACTGACACGATTTTTGACCAGGCTGACTTTTTCACAAAGGGCCCAATCCTGGGAGCAAGGGTAGACATCACATAGTGATGTTTACCTTCTCAATAAGATCGATACAGGCTAACAGATCCATTCCGAAATCAATGAAGGCCCAGTCAATACCTTCTTTCTTGTACTCTTCTTGTTCAAGTACGAACATGTGATGGTTGAAGAATTGTTGCAATTTTTCGTTGGTGAAGTTGATACAAAGTTGCTCGAAACCGTTGTACTACATTGCAGGTAAATTGTAATATTTGATACATAAATGGGGAGAAGTAGAAATCTTTTAACAAATATAAAAGACTTATTTGTGCATAACCAAAATATGGAATGTATCAGCTTTAATTTGAATAAATTTGGTTCAACTAAATTTATAATCTCATAGTATGGATGAGATACTTCACGATTTTCGAAAAATAATTATTTATTTTTCCTGAATTCCATATTAAGGGTATAATATTTACAATAATTAGAATTTTTTTTCATACAATATGCTACATTTTATTTGTGTAGCTCAGTGATGGCAAGGGTAGCATCAATTGTATATTTGTTAAAAGATATCCCAACACTCTATAATATGAATAATAATATAAAAAAAAATGGTGGCTGCAATAAAAAATATTAGTGGTTTGACAAAATTACATTATATATGAAAGTTTCAGGAATTATAACATTGTGGTTGTAATAGTTAGATATTTTCCAAACCAATATTTTAGAAAACCGGTTTTCGAATATTATTGTTTCAAAAAACCGGTTTTAACCGGTTTCGCGTTTTTATGAAAAAAACTAGTTAAAAAAAATTGACCAAAAAATTAACTTTAATTATAATTAGTTAATATTTGTTAACTATACTATTACGATATATACTATGCGATACTATTTTAAAGTAGAGGGCAAATAAGTATAACCAACCATCGTTTTATCAGTATCAGAAGAGAACGTCCACATTATCAATTTAGTGACAAAAGTATTTTTTTGGTATTAGATTTTTTCGTTTTGAGCAGTATTATTTAGTTGATCATAGTTACACTACATATTAGGGTGTAAATATTTTTATAATAGTCAAATTAAGGACGACTATCGATTTGCAATCAATCCAAAGAAAATTTATTATCAATTTTTCAAGTGTTATTTACACATTGAAACCGGTATATTCTACTAAAACCAGTTTTGGAATTTCTCAGTATTTTCCTAGAAACTAATTAAAAACCGTTTTTTTTAAATTGAAATAATTAAAATAAAATGTAAAATTAATTTTTATACGAAAGACGACTATCGATTTGCAAGAGCGTTTTCATCAATCTGAAACATTTGGATACATTTTTCATTATTTTCAGTATTATTTTTATATAAAAAACCGGTATTATCTAGTAAAAACCGGTTTCTGAGTTCCTTAAAATTTTCTTGAAAACTAATTAGAAATCGACAAGCCCTATTCCAGGCCTTTCATATATAAAATAATTTATACTGATATTCATAAAAACAGACAAAAGATGAAATTAAATTACAATAGTCAGTTTGGTTTCAATAAAAATAATAAAAAAAATTATAAACCAAAAATTTGATTTGGAAAAAATTATAAACCAAAAAAGAGTCTATCGTTATCATCCTTTGTCTATTTGCTTAAATTTATTAGGCAGATTTCTGTATTTATTACTTAAGGTTCAGAATTGAAGTTTGAATCTTCAATAATTAATTTGATTGAGTATTTTTTCATTAATTGCCTTTTATTTTATATCAATGTTATGTTTTTTATAATACTCACGTCAAAGATTTCGAAACCAGCAATATCCAGTACACCAATGAAGTGCTGTCTCTTTTGCTTGGTGTCAAGAGTTTCGTTACACTTCTTGACGAGCCATTTGAACAATCTGTCGAACACACCCTTGCAAAGGGCACCGACAGAGTTGGTGACTTGGTCCTTGTTACGACCCTGGGTCACGAATTCGTTACCGACCTTGATGCGGGGCTTCAACAAGTTCTTGTACAAGTCTTGGACGTCGCATCCCAACAATTTGGCGACACGTTCACCCTCCTGTAAGGGATAATAGAATGAAGTCACCGGGGAATGATAAGTATAAAATTTATTTATTTCTGGTAATGGTACAAGTATCTAACCTCTTGTCCATCGGCTTCAGCTTGTTCTTCGCGACCGCGCTGCTTGAACTTCATGCCTCCCATGTGCATGACGGCAGCGGTGATCTTGTAGATGTCATCTTTTTCCTCTTGTGTGAAACCGAGTACGTCGAAAGCTTCCTATACCAGAAAAAATAACAAATGACATACAGGTCTTGTGCATTTCGCCACAGCGGTAGATATTTACCGAACGCCTCCTTATCTACATATTATAAACAAGTCCAGAAGAAAATGGAATGGATTTCGCGGAGTGAATAAGTTTTTATTAAGAATTCCAATATTGAAAGTATTAGTATCACTTGTTTTTCTGGACTGTTTATAAAGATTTCAGGCATTGGAAATATCAACCCTGTGGTCCATTTTAACTTACCAAGAGTTTTCATACATATTAGTAGCGGTCAGCGCATACCATATGTTTTGGTTCATGGTATAACATCGTTTCGTAGATGTCACGTAATTTTTATGTATAAGGTTTTTTTTCACACACCAATTGATGAAATTAATTTTATTTTATCGGTTGAGTTTGACCGATTTGACGTAATTTTTGTACTGTGATGAGGTAGAGTTAAATTATTTATATAGATGAGTTATTAGGGTGGTCCTTAAAATGGTCATTTTTGAATTTTCTTGCTCCCAGGGGCTCAAATGGTTCCAAATAGATAAAAAACAATTCTCTGAAAGTTTTAGCTCTAAAATATTAACGTTTAGATAGAGCGCAATTCAATCAAAGTTTTGTATGGAAATAGCATGGAAAAATTTTCAAAAGTCTTAAAAATGTTTTTTAGATGTAATTTAGCAAACAAATAAAACTCATTCATTTTTTGCTAAGTTATACCTAAAACATTTTTTTTAAATTTTCAAAATTTCTATCTAAAAGTTAGTATTAAGAGCTTTGTTTCAGAGAATTGTTTTTTATCTATTTGGAACCATTTGAGCCCCTGGAAGCAAGAAAATTCGAAAATGACCATTTTAAGACCACCCTAATGAGTTATTGTTGTTAATTGGATGGTGAAAGTTTGATTTGGAATAGTAGTATCCAATATACATATTCTACTGATATTAATATAATTTTGAAAAAAAAAACTGTACGTTTGTTAACCACATTTGTTCTAAAATCGTTATTTTAGTAACGATTGTATTACCAAAATACATAAAAATTTAAATCCAATGATAACATATTGGTAATGCTTTCAGAGATCCAAATCTGAAGCAGTCTAACTAACCTAACATAGATAACTATTATCAACAATGTCTATGATTATTATTATTATTATTATTATTATTTCATTTGAACTAGAATGAAATTGGTGATAATGATGATAAAAGGTAGGATTTTTCTATGCAAGAAGTTTATCCTCGACTGGTCCTGTTTCCAGAAAGTTGCTTTTCAGAGTTCCAATTCTGACGCAAAATTTATCCAGTATTCACGACTAACGAAAACAATTTTTCAAAATCTTAACTTACGTCGGTGAGCAGACATTCTTCTCCGTCATCCATGTTGGGAATAGTAATTTTTCCCTGGGAGACGTTGTAATAATCGTAGATGTTATCGGACAAGAGACATTTAGCTGAAGATGCAAATGAAGAAAAGTTATGCAAAAAGAAAAGACAAGGATTTTATGGAAAATTTTGAAATTTGAGTGTGTGTTTGTGTTTGTGTGTATTTGCCGAATTCAGATCTGGAAGATCGAAGATTTTGTGTTTTTTCCAATACCATGAACCTTTTTGGTATTTGATTGGTTAGGTGGTTAGATATTAATGTTAAAGCAATCATCCGGAAGCTGTACGGATGATAAAGATTCAACTTAAGTCATGAAAATTATTAGAACAAAGTTAGTAGTTACACACTATTAGTATACTTCAACACTGGTATTAGTTATCAGTTGGTAACTACTGTTGTGGGAGAAAACAGGAGTTTAATTGCAAATATAGAAAATTGATGAATGTTTGATTTTTTTATAATATTATGTTGTTTTAAATGATCCAATAAAAGAATTTTAATAATGAGCTATCTTATCAGAAATTCTCTGGGAATCTGGTATTGCATCAAAAACCCCAAAAGAATGTTTATGTGGCACAACTAGTGTGGAATTTTCAAAAAATCGAATTTTCAAATTTTCCATATTTCGATAGGTTATACCTTTAAAAATAACATACTAAAATTTTAAATCGATATCTTAAATAGTTTTTGAGTCACAGCCATTTAAAGAGTATATATGTAGTATATAATATAACGATCATTTTATCTTTAAACGCGTTTTTCTCGAAACCGCATTTTCCGAATTTGCTGCAGTGATTACTCAAAAACAAATGATCCGATCACTATCGAATTTTTTTTACATGTTCTATATATATAGTTCTCCGTAAAATGAACTATCGATTTTTTGATCGGATCAAAAATCGAATTTTGGCAGTCCAAAAACGACCAAAATTTTGGGTAAGATTCGACTTTTTTTTAAAAAACTCCGCCATTTTGTCAACTTTTGATTTTTTTTATCGTAGGTCATTTTACAGACAATATTATCTAGTTCAACGAGATTTTTTCTTTATATTTCATCCACGTAGAAGGCCGGAATCACTGCAGCAGTGAAGGGCCTTTTTTTCGCGCCGTTGGAGATCGACGATAACTTAAAAAACATTTAATTTTTTTTTTCAAAAATTTTACTATGTATTCTTAAAACATGTGTAAATATACTCTTAAAATATTGAAATGATTGATAAAGTTTTTTTTTTTAATATAAATTCCCAAAAATTATTTTTTTTAGGCGGTTACACTAGTTGTGCCCCTTAATATGAAATGCTGTGACTTTTACCAATTGGCGAGCAACTGTAATTTTTGCAATCAAACTCAGTTAAGGTTTTACTATGAAATCGAAATATTAGTAAGGTGTTATCGAAGAAATAAAGACAGCAAGAAGGCGTTTATTTTGTCAATATAAATTTTCCGCCTGCTTACATCGGTGTTTTCCATTTCTTCGGCATCGTTCACACTTGGGATTGTCGTTTTTCCTTGTGACACGATATAATAATCGTGTATATTATTCGATAATAAGCAGATTTCTAAAACAATGTGATGACAACGATCAAATAAAGTATTAGTTGTATATACTAAGAGTGTTAGATAAATTTGGGACTAGTACTACTGACTTGGTTGGTTTTTGACCAAGTTAAAGGACGCTCGTATTGGGCGCTTGGGTAAAATTCTGGTGAACTTATTATCCAGAATTAATCTAAAATGGTACCAGGGTGTAAAAGACAAATAGTTTTAGTAGTTGGTTTAGGAATATGCATAGCGCTTTATAGATCTTCAGGTAATAATGTCAACACCTGATGTCAATTATGAAATAAAAACTAAAAATTTATAGAATGTTTAGAATAAAATTTTCTAGTCTATGCATATTTCTTATTACCACTACTAGGTATGTTCCATTTGTAGGCACGTACAGTATATGTGCTTTTCTATTTAGTACTCGTGTTCAGACACATTTGGTTTAAAATGACAAAAACTAACGTGGTTTTCACATCCTAAAGTGTTTTTTCACGTTGTGGATTAGGGTTTGATTTAAACCAAGTCGGTTTAAATCCGAGCAAGGATGCTCGACTTACATCAGTCAATAAACATTCCTCGCCGTCATCGACGTTGGGAATTGTGGTTTTTCCTTGCGACACGATATAATAATCCATAATGTCGTTTGACAGCATACATTTTGCTGTTTTTCACATAAAATTATGTTAGTTCTAACAAATAAATACAGTAAAAATCTATCTGTAGATACAGTAGGTATTTATATATACTCTGCAAAACTGGTCTACTTAGACACATGGATCTATGTGTTTGGAGTCTAAGAGATTTTGTGTAAGAGTGTAAAAGTATTGCAAAAAAAATGCAACGTGTGTACATGTAAGTTTGTTTTGACAGAATTTGTGTTTGAAATGTGTATATGAAGCGTGTATGTATTGAAAAGTTCCTAAATTCATAAATAAGATTACATAATTTGAACAAAATAAATAATTAATATATAATAAAAAAGGAAAATTGATACTTAATGAATTAACTGAATATTGATTTGAATTTGAATATACTTTAAAATATTTATGATTTTAATTGCATAAGGTAGAGCGTGGCTTAAAGGTCCGCAGGTAGAAACGTCGAACGCCATTTATAAAGATACTATTTTGAAGTAGAGGGCAAAATTGCGTAACCAAACATCATTTTATTGATATCAGGAGAAAACGTCTTCATTATCAATTTTGTGACAAAAGTATTTTTTTGTTATTAAATTTTTATGTTTTGAGCAGTGTTATTTAGTTGACCATACTTGAATTTAAATTTTAATTGTAAAAGACAAAAAAAAATTAAATAAAATGGTAAAATACGTTGAAAAAGTCAATTTTACAAGAGATAAATTAAATTAATATTTATTCCAACTGTTTTGAGCAGTGTTATTTAGTTGACCATACTAGAATATAATTTTTAATTGTAAAGGGCGAATAATAAAAAATAGTAAATAAAAAAATTAAATAAGTTGAAAAAGACAATTTTACAAGAGATAAATTAAATTAATAGTTATTCCAACCATGCTGATGAATATTTCTGATCTTTGGAAAAAAATGTTACTAAGAAATTTGTATTTTGCAATGGCTGAATAATGTAGCTACTATTTCATAAATATCATTAAAAATTAAAAAAAAGACATTGGATCTGTTTGTCGTCTGGTTGGGATGACAAATTTAAAAAAAAATAAAAATGTATATTTCAATAATTATGAATTAACCGGAAATTTTACTGAACATAGTTGAAGTTGTTTGTTTGATACGTGTTAAGCCTTATGATGACGTCCATTTATTTAGACAATATAATTACTGAAAGTAAACTGGACCTTTGTGCCCCGCCCTATTCTAATGCAGATTTTCAAATTTTTTAAATAAAAATTTAAAAATTTTTTTTTAAATATGTCTCATATACTGACTTTTCAATCCATCGACGGATCCAGACATCATCTGGTAGAAGATGTGGTAGGACCGTTCGAGAGCCTGCTGGGAGATGACACGAGCCTTCTCCAACAGATCTGTAGTAATAAAAATTATTAAGCAAAACCATTTATTTTTCCCTAGTTGCAGTGGTTCTGATAGATCACTTACAAGTTTCGATATCAGCTCCTGCCAGTTTTCCAGAGGGACCGAAGTGAATACGGATGAATTTACCCTATGTACCAAGAAAAAAAATATTATTTTGTCAAGGAATATTTGAAAGTTTGTGATTTTTCTACTTACGAAACGGGAGGAGTTGTCGTTACGCACAGTCTTGGCGTTACCGAAGGCTTCAAGTACGGGGTTAGTTTGCACGACTTGATCTTCCAAGTTACCCTTCTTGGTGTTGGGGTCATCCTTCTTGCCGGAGGCACCGACAGTGGCGAAGTAGGCAATTACCTTCTTCGTGTTTTCAGTCTTACCAGCTCCAGACTCTCCACTGGGGGATGGAAATGGTAAATTAGACTTTCAGAAAACGAAGAGCGAGGAAACGAGAATTTTTGTACTGGTTATAACATGTACAAAAATCCCGTTTCTCTTCGAATTTTGCTTCAATTCGTAATTTTTACTTACGTAATCAACATAGATTGATTCTGGTGGTTGGTCAACATGTCGACGTAGGCACCGTCAGAGATGGCAAAAATGTGAGGTGGAACTTCATTACGCCTCTTACCACGGTACAATTTGGCGCAACGGTTTGTGTATACGGGGTAACGTTTGTAAGGATTGATAGCGACACAGAAAAGTCCGGAGTAGGTCTAGATATTAGAAGAAAATGATCAAAATTAGTTATGATAAATAATTTTGTGGAGTTTTTGTATTATTCGTAGTTATTGACAAACAAAACGTGGTGTTGCTCTAGTTATTTATACTAAATCTGCTGATTGAATAAGGTAAAATTAGTAGAAATTATGTAGATGCCCAGCATCACATCTTTGGTAAAATTATCAGAAATCATGAAATTTTACGAAAACTTTAGGTCTCTCTGTTTGAAATAATTACAGTGAAAATTTCAATTTAAACATTTTAAATTTACTAAGAAAATTACTCTAAAATGCACCCTTCGCATTCGGGCTCTGGCTATTGAAAACGGTCTCACGCAACATATGCGTGCGCAGCATTAAATGTGTTAAATGAGTACTTCAAAACGGTTGTCCCACTTTGTTTAAAATAATATTAACGTTATAGTATTTTTTTAAAACAATTTAAATAGTATATTGTAGATAATTCCAAAATTGATGCTTTTCTCTGTTACAGAGTTATTAAACGATGATGAGTTATTATTATATAGAAACTGTGGTCTATATATAATATATTTTATTTTCAATGAAATAAATATTTTTAAATAAATTATTATTATTGTTTTTAAAATAAATATGCAAAAATCTATTTTCCTGCGTTGTCTAAAATTATAGCAACATATTATTTTATCATTTAAATCAGTCCAAATATTATGTTGTGGACAAGGTAAATATGATGTATTTGCAATACAAAATTATTGAATAATTAATTATTGTATATATATTTCAATAAATGCATTACTAAGAAATTTTTTGATCGAGTATGTTTATTTTCTTACTTTGTGTAAAAGTTTAAAAACGTATTTTTTAAATCCAAATATTATGTTGTGAACAAAAAATAATTAAGTTTCTGCTTTGCAAAGTTGTTGAATATCTATATGGTACTTTATCAAAAACTAGAGCAACGTGTGATATTAACAAATTTAATTAATAATTTAAAACATAATGAGTAGTTTTATAACTCCTTCAACAAGCATCAGAAAATTTAACAACTTTTCTATTTAATTTTCATAAAAATTAAAAAAATACTAATTTTGCCTCCAAATGAGTTTCTGTTTCCAATTTTCTGTAATATTTTCTGATGCTCACATGATTATGAAGTTTTGAGGAAGATACTTTACATAGTATTTTATTCCTCTTGTCATTTTTGGGTCAATAAATTAATTTCATTAATATAATTAATAGTAGTACCAAAATAATTAGCACTAGATTATCTACATGGTGATGTCTGCTAAAACCTGTAGAAATATTCTATTATGACTACCACTATTGTTTGTAATATTATTTTTTTGAAGGGTGTCATAATAAAATATTGTTATTTCAATGTGAAATGTTAAACTATTATACAAAATAAACATTAGTTAATCAATTATTAACATCGTTGGTTCACTGAAATGTCCCCAGTGGTTTCCATCGATTTTTGCAGATGGTCCTTCCTCCTTAGCGAAGTTTTACTGTCTGCTGGTAATTGCAAATGGTAAGCAAGAAGTTTTCAAAAATTATCAGAAAGATGTCTTTTTTGGTAAAAGAAATACTAGAATATTGAAATCTTGAATAAAAACATATTTTTTCATTCGTTCATTTGATGCCCAGCATAATTTTTTGGTCGTTTTTTGATAAAATTGTACCTAATTCGAAATAAGTCTTCAAGAAAATTAAATGATTCTTGTATAATTTTGCATACTAAATATTTTATCAAAATATATTCATACGTATAATAGACATCTTGATAATTATAGAAAAAAACTTGATTAGTAGCGCTTTTGTGTGTTTTGACAAATATTAGTATTGAGATTAGCAGTAAATATTATTTACAAGTGTTGAATTTCATTAGGTTTATTAAAAGTATGAGGAAAGTATTTACAGCATGCTTCCAATTTTAGTTTAAAAAATAGAATATGATATTGCACATTTATTAAAAAGTATTTAAATTCGAAAATTTAATTTTTCATTGACTATGGCAGATGAGTACCAACAAAAATGAAAGGAAGAAACTATGTAGTATGTTTAATGACTTTGTTTTCAAATTTTATTAATTTTTTGGAATGAACAATGTCTTAAAATTTTATTTAATTATTTAATTGACTATTCTAATGAAAACCAAAAAAACAATATAAAAATATGTGTCTCATCAACGAAAATTTATATCATGATTTTTTTTCTATTTTTTTCTAATTATATTATTTCCTTTAAAATGTGCAGTATATCAATGTTGTGTAAATAATTTCTGTATAATTTGAAAATGTGTGAACACAAGAACATTTATCACAGCATGCTCGTGTCTTGTTTTAGCTTTAGTAATGCAAGCTGACTGCAGTTAGTAAACACAATCTTGCACAATGGTTGAAAGATCTATTTTTGCCGAACGAAAAATAGGTCACAGACGCGATTAACTATTATTCTTGGAAGAAAAATCTCAGGGATAAATGTTAGATGGAAAACCAATTGTTTGGTCAGAATAAATTTCTTGATTCGATTTTCGAAGTTCAGGATAAATATGAAAATTTTAGTTCCATTTTTTATTATTGCCATTTTGCAAGATGTGTTTCCATTCAAAAGCCCTTAAACTTACGTAGATCAGTTTGTGGTAGTATCTCTGCTTCAAGTTGTGCAACACAGAAGCGTCGTTGAGGTAAGTCAAATTTGACATATCCTCGCATTTTTCATATTTGGGGGGGTTCACTTGGGCGACGAGGTCCTTCTTGAAATCTTTGGTCTATGAGGAAACAAAAAATGTTAACGAAATGATCGATTACTGGCTAAACTTACATAAATTAACTTGGAGTAATATCTCTGGCGCAGGTTGTGCAAAACGCAGGCCTGATTTAAAATTGTCATGTCGGCCATATCCTCGACTTTTTCATAACGTGGTGGATTGACTTGGAGAATATCATCCTTTTTCAGATTCTTTTCCTGCTCATATGATGGTAAATGAATATCCGAAAAAATAACTAAACATATACCCCAAAAAATTTTTCACCATTATATATTTAAATTATTTTGTTTTAATTGGCAATAAAACTTGCATCCAATATTCCTTATAATAAACGCACGTGTTGATTAAAATGCTTGTCAAATCGCATAATATTTTAAAATCATAATTTTAAATAATTATATATCCCAATTAATATTTATTCCCAATATGCAGTTTGAATAGATTAATTCTCTATTATCAAAGTCTTCTTACAAAGTCTATTGTAAAAATAGAGAGAGGTGACGTAATATCAAGAGAGATACGTGTTACGTAACACTAGATTGGGTTCCATTCAAAAATAGATAAACTATTTTTAAATTCTAAATGTGCGATTGTTATTCCCTTATTCATCTTTTTCGGCCCGGCATTATAATTGGCATGATTTCGGCGATAAACAAGTAAAATTGATATATCAGGTAAATATATGAATTTTGGTAAATATATGAATTATGAACGAATTGAAATTATGATCAAATTTTTTTTAAACAAGTTTATATATTTAGTAGTGCAATACTAAAAATTGCATCAAATTAATGCTTTTTCATGTAGCTAAATTAATTTGCAACAAACGTATATTATTTACTGAAACAATGATAGTAAAATTTGATAAAGTTTTGGTTTTTGCCAATATCAAAATTATGATCGATCTAATAAATATCTTAAAAATTGAGCATTAAATGTTAACAAAATTGAATAATAGTTTATTAAAATCAGCGTAGAAATTATAGTTATAAAATTAAATCATAATTATCATTAATATTTAAGTCATCGTTATCAAAATTACTATTAAGACCAATGGTTTATTGCAAATTTCATTTCAATTTAAAATTTTATTGTAAAATTTGATTTGTCTTAACCAGTTAACTGTGATTGACGAATATACACGACCATATGCTATTTAAATTGAAATTTTTGAGATAAACAAAAATATTCCAAGATATTTAGAATATTTTAAGGCTCTGACTATTTGCAATAAGTAGTTGTAAGTGGCATTTGATCTTAATGCAAGTTGCATAAAATTTCCGAAAAGTGGATAATATATACTTAATCAATAAAAATTAAGATTTAGCTATTAAAGTTGAATTTAGGCGCCACAGTTGACTGGTTAAAAAATTTACTTTGAAGCATTATCTAGTGATCTAGTAAAATTTTCATGTTGGAATCAATCGGTATCAAATAATTTACTATGAAGCAGTATGTATCTAGTCGATAACGCATACACCGAAAATGAAAATTAAAATTGATTTATTTTATTTACTCTTAAAGACTAATGTTCAAATTTAATATAATCAAAATATAGCCAATATCAAAATTTGGAATGAACAAAGAGGGAAAATTTGGAACTAGTGCAGAATTATATGAACTTATGTTTACTTTTTTTTTAAAAAAAAAAAGAAATATTTGGCTACTCTATCGCCTCGTGTTCTTTATCACTGCCTCATGGGTTTAAATTTTGTGATGAGCGTTGAAATTTAATATATCCAACATATATCAAATATTGAAATTTGAAATGAACAAACAGAAAAAAACTAACAATTGTGAAGAATTATATAAGTAAAAAATGTTTGGCTATTTCTTTAGTCTAATTTCTGTTATTACTGCTTCATTTGGGTTTCCAATTTTTCATCAAGAGTCATTTACTAACCTCTCCACCGGGCAAGCCGACGGTGACGAGATCCCCCTTGGTGGCCTTAATTTCACCGAGAACGAAGCCTTCCTTCTCGTCGGGTACCCAGCAGGCCTTCTTCGCATCGTAGGGTTTGGTTTGATCGATACGCTTTTGTTCGAGAGATACGAACAAGTATGGGGTTGGATCGGGATCCTCCCCTTCAGCTTTTACGACCTTGGGCATGATTAGGCGAGCGGACGAAGATTCAGGCTAGATCGAGACACGTAATTATTTTGGCAGCCCTTGGAGCCTTCCTGGAAGAAAAGAAATTTGGTATTAGTATCGGCACATCATTAAGTGAAAAACACAAATCCAATGGTGAAACAATATGTAGATAGCTCGAAACAAAAAGTCAGGAAACTTATTGATTATTGTTGATCTCAATCCCTTTGCTCAGGGATTGAGGGGAAGAATGCGTTATTGGTGGAGCTTTGTTGTTTACACATTGTTGTCACAGTGGATGAGCACTTTTATTCACTGAATAAGTTTTTGGTTAGTGTTGTGTAGTGAGGGCATTTGTGTTTCAAGTAGATCATTTGTTTCAACACAAAACTTTATTGTAACTTCAAGCCAGTAAACTTTTGTGAATGCATGTGTATCCAGAGAACAAAATTGATTTTAGAATGCCTTGTTTTTTAGCACTTAATGCAATTTAAGATTTGCAATCTGGCAACGTTGGATAATTGTTTGTTATCTAAATGCTTTTATAGATTTTCTGTAATACCACTGAAAATTTGATCTAAATCCGTTATTTTGAAAAGTTTGTATTCCGGAAATCGGAACTGAAGAAAGCCAGTGGTTAAGGAACTCGATCGCGTATGGTATGCATTAGAAGCGCGTGTGGATGAGTTATTTTTAACCATCTCGCTCGCGCTTCCTATACTGGCCTGGTTAGCAAGTCTATTTACGGAATGGACGTCTTACGCGGGTGTAGTCATTCAGAAAAAAACTAACTCAAACGCCTTAAATGGCGGAGCATAACACAAACAATATCCGAGCGCACAATTCTGGGTAATTTGTTTAAAGTGGAATCAGGCTTCACAGACTCATTACACTTATTTCACACGAGGACAGGTGAAATGCAATGCGGTTAAAGTAAAAAGTCCACTTTTGAGAGTAATCCACGAGTGATATAGTGTAATAGGCCTCTTGAGCCTCACTTCTTCGAACCACAGTTTCCTTATTTAACACCACTTCACACACGCTGCACAAACCACGTTGCATAAAAATCCAGAAAAAATTCGAAAAAAATAAATTAAATGTGTATTGTTTCAATTGAATTGTGTATGTATGTATTAGTGTTATATAAATAAAATGCGCAATAGCGCCACACGGTGTGTATTCACTTACGTTCGAAAGCCGTTCTGGGCGTGCAGCCGCCTTCCGGGAGGTTTTATACTCGGCAACTTGATACTTACGAAGTTTGCGTTCGTTTGGCGAGCCAATGGCGAGCTCTGCCGAACCCAGACGGGCTCCCTTTTTAGGCGGAGATCGTTCCAAATGCGATTTGCCCAGGGACGGCGTTACGAAAATACACCACGCCGTCGGACGGTATTGTACATCGGTGTACTCACCTCTGGTGGTCAGAGTAGCGCGAGTTCGCCGCGACGGATGCGACGGATGCGACCGACCGTACGACCGTACGACCGCGGCAGCCGTGACCTAGTGCGTGTCGCGGGACAGAAGCCAGAGGCGCGCCGAAATCAATTTACTCGACGAAGAAAATTTGGGGTGCATTTTGAAAAAAATGTTTCAACATCGAATTTTGATTTATTTCAGGTTTATCAGTTTGTACTTATTATAACCACGATAAAAATGAAGATATAATTTGATTATTATTTATCGCTTAGGTTGGTTTAATTAGGCACATAAAAATCTTATATTTTATTAACTTCCCGTAGGAAAAATTATAGTAATCGCAAAAAACTAAAAATATTTTTTTGCATATCTTTACGTTTCAATGGTTTCTGAACTTTTCGGCACTTTCTTTACGTTTTGACGGTTTCTGAACTTTTCGAAAAAATGAAATGTGTGTGTGTGTAGGTATGTGCGGATACAATTTTCTATTATAAATTCTCTAGCCAAAAGCAATTTGCGCCGACTGATTTTACTCGGGTAAAATTCAGGGTGCATTACAAAAAAATAATTTTCTAACCGAACTTTGATTTTATTTTGATATCATTCAGGTTTATGGGTTTATAATTCAATGGCAATAAAAATAAATAAACTAGCTGTAAGTGGAATTCTGTCTTGAGGCAATTATGGCATCGTGCCTTGAGGCAAATTGCTGGAACTTCCCGCACCGTAACGAAATGATCGAGGAATATTGAATGTTTTCAAATAGATTATTATAAATATAGTAACATTGTCTAATATTTATAAGAATTATATAAACCGAATTGCAGAGTTGAAATTATTTCTACAGTATATTAGAACTATAGTCAGAATTAAAAATAAAATCTGAAATATTTTCGATATACAAAATACTAAAAAAAAAAAAAAAAAAAAAAAAAAAAAAAAAAAAAATGGAACAAATTTTTTTTTCCAAAATCAATTATTTTGTTAAGACAAGCAGAAAGTTCTTTGAATCATTTAAATCGGACGCTTAGTTCTCTCAAAAACTGCCATTTTTTACATATTTAGCTCCGTATCTTCGAAATGGCTGGGCCTGCCTTTGCCAAAAACTAATAAACACTTCTCCCAATCATTACTAATTGAATGTTTTTTAGATCATTCAAATCGGATACTCCGTTCGCTCAAAAATTCGATTTCTATTTTTTGCACTCTTTGCTCCGTATCTCCGAAACGGCTGGACCTGCCTTAGCCAAAAACTAATCAGCTCTTTTCCCAATCAATAGGAATCGAATGTTTTTTGAACCATTCAAATCGGTTGATCCGTGCGCCCTAAAACGTGACTGGAAATTTGTATCCACACATACATACACACACACACACACACACACACACACACACACATCCATTTTTTCTGAGGTATGCCAAAACGTTCAGAAACCTTCAAAACGTCTAGAAATGTAAAAATTTTCAATTCCGATTTTCGGCCCATTACAATAACTTACCCTACGGGAAGTTAATAATTAAATTTATCGCTTTGTTAGGTTTAATTATGCATTATTAGCGCATATAAAAAATTTCCATTTTATTTATTTCTCGTAGGGTATCAGTGTTCCATAGGGATTATAGTAATCGCAAAAAAATCGAAATTATTTTTTTGCATATCTTTACGTTTAAAAGGTTTCTGAACATATTGGCATACCTTAGAAGAAATGGATGTTTGTATATATGTGTTTGTGTGTATGTATGTATGTGTGAAGTATGTATATATGTGCGGATACAATTTTTTGCCGGCATTTTTGAGAACGCGAGTCAACCGATATGAACTATTAAAAAAACATTCGATTCCCATTGATGGGGAGACATGATAATCAGTTTTTTAGCAAAGGCAGGTTCAGAAAAAAATGAAAAACTTGACTTTGCTAGAAAGGAGTTTTGCAAAAAAATTGTTTTTTCTTGGATTTTGAATTTATATTTCAATTTTAAAAAAGGGTTTTTTTAAATTAAAAACTAAGTTTTGAAAAGGCAGGTCCAGCGGTTTTGTAGATATAGGGAACAAAATTAAAAAATTAATATTTGGCGGTAAAGTAACACTATGAGATATTAGTGCGCATCAAATTAACAGATATTTTATAGAGTTTTGATAATAATTACTAATTTTGTTTTATTTTTCTTGGGGGTTCCGTATCAAGATTTTTTATTTTTAAAGTTCAATTATACTGTTTAAACAAATGTCCTCAACATTATCCACAGTTTAGATCAAGAAACTTAAGGAAAAATAATTTAAAAAACATTTGGTTCAACGGATGCAAAAAAATGGTCATGCAGTTTTGAGAGAACAGATCATCCGATTATAATGATTCAAAAAAAATTTTGTTTGTGTTGGTGGTGTGACGACATGATTAGTTTTTTGGGAAAGGCAAATCAAGTGATTTTGATAAAAGAGCAAAATTAAAAAAAAAACGAATTTTTGATTTTGTTCAATTTTTTGTAATTTCAATTTTAAAAAAAAGTAGAGATTCTAAAATTTCAAAGTTTTCAAACAAAATCGAATTTTTGATTTTGTTCAAATTTTCGTAATTTCAATTCAAAAAAATTTGTAGAGATTCGAAAATTTCAAAGTTCATTCAAGTCAAAATATTTATTTTTTCCCATTTTCAAAAACTAAATTTTTTTTGAAAAAAAAATAAAATTTTGAAAAAAATTCATTATAATGATTTTTTTTCCAAATTTTCGAAATATTTTCAAATTTATCAAAAAGTTTCTTTTTTAAAATTAAAATATAAATTCAAAACTTTGAAAAAAATCTAAATTTTAAAAGGATTTGAGCAACACTGCTCGAGAAGTAATTGAGCTTCTCAATGCAGAAACATAATACGTTGGCAAAATCTCTCAACAATAGCTCGGAGCAATATTTACTACCTCTTGAGTGTACTAAATTGGTAGCACATAATTTATTATCAGAACAAATATATATTCGCCTATAATAATTAGACAATTTATTTATCAGTTAATAATATATCCTATATTTAGTCAGTATCTAATGTATGTTTAATCATCTATGGCCGACTATGACTTTGAGACATTGTCAATTGTGATCAAGCGTATTATGTAAAGTCGTATTTTGGTTCTGGCTGACGCATTTGCTACGGATTGTTGTAAGAGCAACTCAGGGACTACTCACCCGAATTCCTCGATCTTCGAGATGATATTAGAGTGACACCGTATAATGTATCAATGACTTTAGTAAGAAGAAAGCTATTGCTTTGAACCAGTTAACTGTGATTGACAAATATACTCGTCATGGAGGGATGGCAGAGTTTTGGGAATTGACGGGTATATTCGTCAAGCGTATAGAACAGTGGTACTTAAATTAAATTTTTTGGAGAAATAAAATTTATTTTGATAAGTCAAGTTGTTCAGAATATTTTGAAGCTATGACTGTATATAATAAGTAGTTGACGTTGGTATTTCACTAAGTTGCATAAACTTTTCAAAATGTGGAAATAATACATTTTATCAATAACTATCAAAACAACATTTTGAATCTTATCATTATCAACAGCCGGTTTTGAAAATTGTGTTTGCTTTTCATATAAAACTATTTCTACTTTCTTATATTTACACATATGTAATGTATGCATATGTTAACTAAGAAGTAACATGTAGTAATAAGATTTTTTTAATTTTGTAAAATAAGCCCAAGTTTTTCATCCGTATATCCTTACTCTGTGATTGACGAATATACTCGTCATGAGCTCGATTCAGATATTCGCAATGTTCGATTTTAGCCACACAGTTAACTGGTTAATTAAATTAATATGCAATATTCCTAGTATAAAAGTTGGTTTATATATGAAAAGATAATACAGAGTCGTAATGATGAGTTTTATAAAGTGCATTTTTATCTACAAATTATTTGCTTGAGTTTGGATTTAAAAATGCGTATTATGATAATTTTTGTAAATATTTACCTAATAAAAAAATGTATTTCGATACCAAATTTTTGAATGTTAAGGGTAGCAAAAGATCAGACAAATACTCATAAACGAATTTTAATAAAATATGAAACTTTTGAGATTTGTTTAAGTAGATGTATTATTTATGCTTATTAGTTATCGTTATAAAGTAAGAAGAAAATTTAGCACAAGTTTATTTGTTTATTCATGTAAATCATCAGATGGTTACTTAGGCCGTCGAAGTTACTATGAACATGAAAACATGAGAGCAATGCTCTACTATATAATAATGATGAGCAATATTAGTGTCATAAATTCATTTAAAAATCATTTAATTATAATTTTTGTGTTTGGAAACTACGAAATATAAACTTTACGGTATTTGTAAATAATCGATTTTGAATTTTTAAATAATTAACCCCTTTTTCGTCGTACAAACTCTTATCAATAGCATAAAATTACCAAGTCAGATTTTCTGGCCAAAACATAATTTTCTTCTTCGAGAAGTTAAAAATTTAACGCCTCTGTTGCAAATATTTTTTATTCAGCAATCTATTGATAAATAATGACTACTTTTTGATTAAAAAAAAAATTAAAAACTCTATAATATACCAGGAAAGAGTAGATTTTAATGCTTATTTTAGTATTGTCTCAAAATTTATTTTTTTACTTTGTTGCAATTGCATTTTTAATAAAAAATATTTTTTAATTGGACTCTATATTATCAACTGCTTTATAAACTATGAGCAGAGCTTATTTTATTTATTTTAGTTATGGCCATATGGCTATTCGCTTTTACAATATCACAAAAAATATTTAAAAAAAAATCAACTACAAA